GTTTGTTTCTTTTTTTGAGACAGTCTCCCTATGTATGTAGTACATGTTGAACTTGCTTCTGTAGCCTCAGATGGCCTGGAACTCATTGCAGTCCTCCTGTCTCAGCCTCCCAAGTGCTGGGATTACAGGCAGTGCACAGCCTGCATTTTTATTAGTAACAAATCTTAATGTTTTAGTATCTCCCAGTGAGTGCTTGCCAGGTATACACTTGTACCACTAAGCTATATCCCCAGCCACACTGTAACCTTGAAATGCCTTTGGCTTCATGGCTGTCTGTGTGATACTGTGGGCCTTGCATAGTTTTGAGTCAAAAACAGTGCAAAGCCTAAGAGTCATTGAAGTGTCTTGGTGATTATTGCTGGGCTGTAATTTAAAGCAGGACTCTTCCACTTCTGGGCCAATCTGATTTTAAGGCTATTGTTTTTTGGTCCTCAGCTTCTTATGAAAAAGGTCTTCTGCTTGACTCCTCGCTTCTATATACTCTTGATTCTTTGTTGTTTTGGGAAGCCTTTGTTCTGATTTTTTAAAAAATGCTTCATTTATTCATTCATTCAGTCAGTCATTACAGTGCTAGGAATTGAACCTAGGGCCACATGCATGCTAGGCAAGCACTCTACCATTGAGCTATTCATTGAGCTATTCTAAAAAGGAAAAAGACAAAAAAAAAAAAAAAAATCTTTCCTTTTGGCCCGGAGATCTAGCTCAGCCACAAACCATCTACCTGGCAAGCGCAAGGTTATAAGTTTGATCCCTGGTACCAAAAAAAAAAAAAAATCCCTTTTTAAGACTGAATAACATTCTATTGTTGATGGCATTTGAATTGTTTCTGCCTTTTTAGTGTTGTGGAAAATGCTGCTATGAAATTAGTGTGCAAGTTTTAGGCTAGATGGGGCTACAAAGTGAGCTCAAAGCCAGCCTGAACTGTGTAGAGAGACCCTGTCTCAAAAAGACAAAAACAAAACAATGTGCAAGCATCTGTTTGAAATTCTGCTTTTTTTTCCTTTGGGGTATGTACCTAGGAGTGATAATCCTGGATTTTGGTAATTCTGTTCAACTTTTTGAGAAATTGCCTGTTTTCTGCAGCAACTGTACCGTTATCAGTTTCTACTGGTAATATGCTTGTTTCTCTCCGTCCTTGATACCATTTAATTTCTGTTGTGTTTGTTAACAGTGGCAACTGTTTTTTTTTTTTTGTCTTTTTGATAAAGGGTCTTGCTATGTAGTTCAGGCTGGCCTTGAGCTCACTTTGTAGCCCAGGCTGGTGTCAAACTCGCAACAGTCCTCCTGTCTCAGCCTCCTGAGTGCTGGGATTACAGGCATGGGGCACCACACCCAGCAACAGTGGCAACTCTTAAGAGATGTGAAGTGGTATCTGTGACTAATTTTTAAAATTTTTATCTTGTTACAATATTAATGGAAGAATTGTGTGAAAATCTGCTGTTATGGATTTGACATTTTTTCTGTGTAATTGTATCAGTTTTGAGTCTCTTTTATAAGTTACATCTACATTTATTTCTTAAAATTTATTTATTAATTTTTATTTTGTATTGGGAATCAATTCATGACCTTGTGCTTGCCAGGTAGGTGCTGTGCCGCTGAACTATATCCCTGGCCTCCAAATTTAACATTTTGGTGAATCCTAGTGGATTTAAATTGTGGTGAATCAAAGCATTTTAGCGTTACATAATGACCTCTTTATCTCTCTAATGCTTTCCTTCTTTCATTTGGCTAGTAACTGCAATGCATATGGTTTTATTTTCATTTATTTTATTCTTTCTAGTTAGCATTGTGAAATATAAATTTTTACTCTAAATAGTTCTCTTAATTTTTATAATCCTCTTGATTTAATTAGTGTGCCATAGTTTCTGTAACCAGTTTGCCATTTTGGATATTTTGATAGTCTTTATCTTTTTCTTCAATTTTCATTAACATCAATCATGTCTTTGTGTATATTAGCTTTTTTTTTGTTGAATACTTTGATTTGGATTATCTTGGAAGTAGGATCATTGATACACACACAAAAACACACACATACACACACACACACAAAACCTTGACACTGCCATATTCCTTTCTTAAAGAATGGTACTTACAGTCTCACCATTTCTTTCTGCTAGACACCACTGATCACGTGCTACATCATTTTATGAATTGCTGAGAAAGAAAAAACTTTCGGTTAAACTGACGATGCTTGTTGGTCATTTAATTTTTTAACTGTACTTATACAGGACCCTTTAGGTACAAGTAGACAGATTTTTATCATACCACTCTTTTTCCTTTTTTCTTTGGAGATAGGGTCTTACTATTTAGTGCAGGCTGGCCTTGAACTCTGGGCAATCCTCCTGTCTCAGCCTTCTGAGTGTTGGATGACAGTAATATGCCACCATGTTCTTAACATATCACTCTTGAATATACTTTAAAAGGAAGAAAATAAGTCCATGAAAGTGCATATAAAGCTTCACATTCAGTTTAGAATTTATCTTTTACTTTTTGATTCACAAAATTGATTGTATTTTTCCATTCTATACCTCAAGAATGTTGATGAGAATATATTTCTTAAAAGTGACTGTTAGAGGGGCTGGGGATTTAGCTTAGCAGCATAAGCACCTGCCTTGCAAGCCCACGGTTGTGAGGTTGTGAGTTCGATCTCCGATACCAATTTTTAAAAAACAGTGACTGTTAGGGCCCAGGGATTTAGCTCAGTGGCATAATTGACTGCCTGACAAGCACAAGATCATGAGTTTGATCCCTTGTACCAAAAAAAAAGTTAAAAACAGTCATGGTTTTCTCAATTATAGTAAGATGCAGATATGTTAAAATGTGAAAAAGTGCATCTTAGAATTCCTCAGTATGTAATTTTATCATTAGTTATTATATTAATACTTTCCTCTGTTTCTTGATATAAAATATATCAACTTTTTAGTTGCAGTTTCTTTTTTTTTTTGCATCAGAGTATTTTAGCAACTGTAAGATCTTTAGTATTTAATTGAATTAAAAATGAGAGTTTTGGGCCAGGGATTTAGCTCAGTGGTGTAAATGTCTGCCTGGTAAGCTTGAGGTTGTGAGTTTGATCCTTGGTACTCCCCCCCCCCCAAAAAAAAAAAAAAAGATAGTTTTGTTTCTCAGTATATGCAAGTTTATGAAAATTTTCACAAAGGAAAACACAAAATGTAATAATAATGTCAAAATTGCATTTGGTTTTTTTTTGGTCTTTGCATTTTTAAAAAAGTGTAATTTAAGAAATACTGTTCTGTTGAGCTGGCATTTATGATAGACCTTAAGCAATCATCCTGGGACTTATACATTAGGATCAGCAGGGAGCCTGTTGAATTGTGCATTCCTGGCCCTATTGCAGAGATTAGTGTGGAGCAAGTTATGGGAATTCGTGTGTTTAGAAGAGCTCTCCAGGTACTTGCAGTGTTGTGGGCCACATTGAGAAGTGGTGGAATGTTGAAGTAGAGCCACGGATTTTCTCAGACCCTCTGGTGGTGCTGGCTAAAATTTACAAGACAAGAATGATTAGAAAGTTGTGGGGACTTGTTACATTAGTAGAATACCTTAAATACTAGAAAGTGAGGAACCTGAATTTACTAGTAGAAAGGCTCTAGCATGTTTCAAGCAGAATTGTTAGGATAGTTTTTGTTGAATGTAATTCTGTCCTATAAGACACCCACTAGGAAAAGAGTAAAATGGAAATGTTTTTATTGAGTCTTTTTTTTGTGTGTGTATGTGTGTGTCTTTTTTTTTTTTTGTCTTTTTCCTTTTTATTGGTACCGGGAATCGAACTCACGACCGCCTGCTTGCAAGGCAGGTGCTTATGCCGCTGAGCTAAACCCCCAGCCCCTGTGTGTGTCTTTTTGAGACAGAGTCTTACTATGCAGTTCAGGCTGGCCTTGAGCTCACTTTGTAACCCAGGCTGGTCTCAAACTTGCAACTATCCTTCTGCCTCAACTCCCAAGTGTTGGAATTACAGGTGTGTGCTACCACACCTGGCTTGAGATCTTTTTTATTGGTCTTCATTTCAAGATTTTTTCTGTACTTGTGTATTTGGGTTTTTTTTGTTTTTTGGGTTTTTTTGGTATTGGAGCTCGAACTCTGACCTCACACTTGCCAGGCAGACATTGTACTAGTGAGCTATATCCCTGGCCCCAAAAAGTTCGATTAATTAAGCAAAATATAAACTCCATGAGAAAAATTTTTATTTCTTCTTCTGTCTGTAGTCTCTGAAATACATGGTTGGCATATGGTAAGCATTCAGAACTATCTATTGAATACATGAATACATAGAACAGTTCACATTTGAATTACTTCATATACATGTCAGAAATTGGTGCAATTAATTTTACATGTAATCCCTAAGCTTGTTACTAAGTTTTAATTGCAATTTATTGCTAAAATTGTGGAAGTTATTAAATCATTTAGTCTTTCCTTGTAAATTATATTTTAAATTTATAATTAATGTTAGGAATAAGGATCTTGATTAAAAGTATCTTTCTTTTTTTTGTAGGATATAACACAGCAGTTTCATCAAGTTGAATCCCAGCTGAATAAGCTAAATACTCTCCTTACTGATATTCTTGCTGATGTGAAGACAAAAAGAAAAATTCTGGCAACTAATAGATTGCATAAGATGGAAAGAGAATTATATGTACATTTTTTTAAAAATGGAGAGTATCTGAAAAATATTGTTGAAAACCTAGAAAACGAATCAAAAATCATGGCTGATCATCTTAAAGATTGAAACTAACTAAAAACTGAATCTACACACATTTTATATTTTAATGTTTTATGTATTAGGAAAATGTTTCTAATAAATAGTACTATGTTTTAAAACTTGAAGTCAGTGAAACATTTCATTTAATAGATTCAAATACTGTGTTATGGAGGTTAACTATCCTTAATCTAAAAATTTAGTGCTCCAAAATCTGAAACTCATTATGTCATCCTGGGATGATGTAAATGGAAAATTCCACACCTGACCTCATGATGGGTCACAGTCACAATGCAGATACATTAAAAATATTGTATAAAATTGTCGGGTTGTGTGTAAAAGATTATATGAAAAAGTTAATTTTATGTTTAGACCTGGGTCCCATCATCCAAAGAAGTTGTTATGTATTATGTAAATATTCCAAACCTGAAATCCAAAGCACTTGCTTCCAGGCATTTCATATAAGGAATATTCACCTACATCAGTTCAGTTTCTTTCCTTATACATTGCTTCAGAGCACCAGTGCTTTTTATGATTCAATTGTTTGCTTGGTGGTACTTAGCCCTGATACATTTCTGCTTATCATTATGCATCATTATGTGATGCAAATGCTTTAAATACAGTTAAATTTCTCTCTCTCTTTTTTTTTTTTTAAATAAAAACCAGTCTGTCTTGAAAATTTGTAGAACTTTGAGTTGGCAGTCTTAGATCTGTAGGCCTTAATACAATAGTAACCCTTCATTTTAGTTTTGCTTTGTGAAGATTTACTTATCTGATACCATCTATGGTTAGAGGGTATTAAATGGGACATTCCAGAAACTAAGTTTTAAATCATTTTGTGTAATATGATGGAGTTTCAAACTTCTCATCCGTGACAGGAATAATCCCTGTTCTTTTTTTTTCCTTTGGTACTGGGAATTGAACTCAGGACCTCAAGTTTGCCAAGCAGGCACTTACGCCGCTGAGGTAATCCCCAGCCCTTAATTCCTGTTCTTATATGCTCTGTGAGAATTAGTCACTTGGTGGCCCTGTCAGTTATCAGATGTATAGAGTTCAATATTGTCAGCAGCTCTGGGCTTTCTAGAGGTTTGGAATGTTCTCTTTCCCAGAGAGGGCCCTACTATATATGTGAAATAGCTTAGCCCCTGTATTTGTACCGAGGATTGAATTTACGACCTAGTGCTTGCAAGGCAGATGCTTATACCACTGAGCTAAATCCCTGGCTTTGTCCCTATATTTTTGACTGAGGTGAAATTCTGCCCCTCAAACTCTTTTTCCCAAAATTCTCTCCTGTAGACTTTGAGATGGTATTTCTGCTTGTACCATAGAGTACCAAGACTCCATTTTTTTCATTTCTTCCTAGGCTTTAAGAATAGAGGTTTCTGCAAGATATCTCAGAATTACTTTGATTTGTGTGTGATTTACATATCACAAATAGCTTTGAAATGAAACATAACTCAAAATTACTAAAAGTTGGTTGAGATATATGTACATTTTTAATGGTAAGAATGAAAGTATAAAATATAGGCTATTACCTAGTATTTGCTTTTTTACATTTGGATTTTTTTGTTGTTATTTTTGAGACAAGATCTTGTTACGTAGTTTGGGCTGGACTTGAACTCATTGTGGAGCCCAGACTGGCCTTGAACATAGGGCAGTCTTTCTGCCTCAGTCTTCTGAGTGCTAGGAGTACGGGCATGTGCCATCATGCCTGCTTACCTAGTATTTAGACAATTAGAAATTAAGAGTTAGTATAAAGTAATTTGAAGTAGCTTATCATTTGTGCCACATGCTCCTTAAGAGACCAGTTGGTGCATGGCTTCTATTATATACCATATACTTTATAGGTAATACCCTCAAGAATACTTCTTACCTCCTTGTTTATAGAATGCCAACCTAATAACCTCATGTTTCAGGTGGACTTTATGTAGAGTTTTTTTAGTTGTTACTAGAAAACAGGCATACCTACGTAAAAGTAAGCACTGTTAATTTTTGTAATCCATTGGTCAACAACCAAAAAAAAAAAAAAACCTACTTTTTTTTTGGTAACAGAGATCAAACTCAGACCTCACCCTTGCCAGGCAGGCACTATACTATTTTGCCCCAAGGACCAGTAAGGCTGAACAGTGGAAGGGTTGGCAGGTCGTGTCTGCTGTGACCCAAGTCAGATGTAATTCATGTTATCAGATGTATTTGCTTGAAAATTAATAACCATTTTTCAAAATGGAGGAATTATTTGAATAGATTGCTTGCTTTGTAAGTGGTTAGCTAGCAAATAAGTTATTTATCTGTTTACCATGATTCCTAGTTGAGTAGCTATATTTTTTCTTCCAACTATCTTATTTGGATTGTGGGATGATAGAAACCTATTTCATGGGGCTGGGGATTTAGCTCAGCAGCATAAGCGCCTGCCTTGCAAGCAGGTAGTCGTGAGTTCAATCCCTGGTACCGATAAAAAAAAAAAAAAAGAAAAGAAACTATTTCATGGTTATTAATATTGATGTTTAAGTGAAAGTCTCAAGTACATGAAATTTTCAAATATGTAACTTAATGGGGTTTCTTATTTTGAAGTCTCGATATAAGTGTATTTTTCTTACGTTAATCTTGCATTTAGGATTTTATGAAAATGGAGAATTATGGAACATGTGTAGGCTTTGATCTCTGTGAGACACCCCTCTCCAGTGTTGCTCAGAAGATCTTGTCTGCCATGCATTCAGGTGATGCAGTGGATTCTGAGAACTTGGGGGAGAACACAAAGAGTAAGTAATTTTTATGAATCTTTCTTTTATTATCTTGAATGTTAATAATTCTTAAAACTAAGAATTAAAATTAATGTAGCAAAATTGTTCCATAGAACTCTATATTTATATACAAATTCTATGCCTACAAAGAAAAGAAACCTAGTTCCTGCCTCCTTTATTTTCTTGTTCATTGCTGAGCTATGCTCACTGTTTTGTGGCCCTTAACCTTTATTGCTTGAAAAATACAGCACTCTCTTCCTTGTTCCAAGAATTTATGTTAAACTTTCCTTAGAATCTGAATCAAGTATTTAAATATCTCCAAAAGAGATGGATAGTGCTTCCTGCTTGACTCTTGGGTTGCTGAACCTGTACACAGGACTTGCTATTGCGAGAGGTACATAAGAGATGTATTTTAGAAGAGTGTGTATTATGTCATAAAATGCATAAACTGGATGGCAAAGACAAGTGCTTGGGGTGCGTGCGTGATATTTGTTATAATAGTATAAACAATTATGAACACTCAGCTTTAGCTGAAAGGTATCTAACATCAGAGGACTGTTTTTCTACTCATAAAGCAAAACAAAAAACAAGAAGTTTTTTCTTTTTTAAATAAATTTACAAGTCTTGCCAGTAATTTGTGGTTTATTCTTTTCCTACAGTGTAAATTATGATAAAGATACAAAGCAATTAGATTGAGATGAAATAATTGAGAACATGCCTGTAATCCCAGCACTTGAGAGGCAGAGGCAGGAGGATTGTTGCTAGTGAAAGACCAACTGGGGCTACAAACTGAGCTCGAGGCCAGCCTGAACTGCATAGTGAGACCCTGTCTCAAAAAGACAACGCAAAAAAAGCATTGCCAAGTATTAGCACAAAAGCTGTCATAAACACAGTTGCTTCATTAAGTACAGTAGCACTTAATATCTCGATCTGTTTACATTTAAGCCTTGGTTACGTGTATGTCTTAGTATAGTAGAAATCACAAGTTGACCAGTAAGAATTTCTGAACTATATATCTAGAAATTTATAGTGTTTATGGGAAATAAAAGATAATAATAATTATTTAAACATATTATTTGTTTATTTATTTACTTGTATTACTGGGAATTGATCCTGGGCCTTTATACTGAACTTCATCTCCAGCCTTTTATTGTTTATTCTGAGACAAGTTTTGCCAAGTTGCCCAGGCTGGGCTTGAGTTTTTGATTCTCTTGCCTCAACCTTCCAGAGTGCTGGGATTACAAATGTGCTCATGACTCTCAGCTAAACACTAAATATTCCTCTGTTCCTCTTTATCTCCTGTAAAACACAACCAGACATTTCTTTTTTTTTTTTTTTTTTGTAAAATTCTACCAATTTTGACAGAGGTGGTAGTGTGCTTTCCTTCAACAACCAGTAGTAACAGTAAAATGACTCTGGTAACAGTGTTAAAAAATTTATGATAGCCAGCCCATTTCGTATGAACTCTTACCATGTCCTGAAGTACCCTGTTGAACTTTTGACTTTTGTTATTGAGAAGATAATGGAAAATTATTTTTCTGCCAAGTGTTCTTGGATTTGGAAAATAATGGACTTTTCATAAGGATTCTGTATTATGTATTGCTAAGTTACTACAAATTTACTGGCTTCAAACAACATATTTATTGCAGTATGGGTTTTGTGGGTCTACCTAGGTATGGCTCAGTTGAGTGTTCTCTGCAGGCTCTGTGAGCTACAGATGGGTCTCCTCTGAGGCTTAAGTGAGGAAGCATTGTTTTCCATGCCCACAGGAGTACTGGCACAATTCAGTTCCTTGCATGTTCTTACATTGAAGGCCTCCATTTCTCCCTGACTGTTGGCTGGAAACCACTTAAGGTGCTTTTCATGTGGTCTCCCTCACAGGCAGTTTGCTTTTTCAAAGCCAGCAAGAAAGTCTCCCTAACCAGATGGACTTAGTCTTTTATATGACTGCACATATCCTGTCACCTTTGTTGTGATCTTGTCAGAAAGCAGTCAGAAAGTCCCACCCACACTCAGTGAATAGGCTTATACAAGGACAGGAACACCAGGAGGAAGGAATAGTAGCACTCTCATAGAGTCCTTTCCACTTCACTTTCTTGTTTGATTTCTTCCTAGAAGGATCTGAAATTTAAAGTTGGATGGCTGATGGGTTATTAGTGAGTGATGATGGACTGAAAGACTTATTCATGGGTTCTTATCACACACTGAGCTGTTATGTCATATTTCCTGTAAGAAAAGTGTTGTAAATTTTAGCCTTTTATTTCTTTTTTTATATACACGTACATACTGACAAACATTTTTATTTCAGCTTGTTACACTATGAACCAGTACAGTGTTTACACATGTGTGTTTTATTTATTTCACTAATGAGTATGTTCTCAAGGTACATCCATTTACCTATAAAAGTATCCAGTTTATCATTCTTTATGGCTAAGTAGTACTCCATTGAGGTTTTTATTTTTATAAACCCATTTTCTACCACATAAATATCAAAACTGAACTCAGAAATTATTGAAATAAAGTAAAAATATTTGTTTTCACTTAGTAAAACTGAACATTAAACCTGTGATATGTGTCACTTTGAAATCTAATTTTATGATCTGTTTCATTGACTGGTGTTTCCAAATACATCTGGTAAAGATCATACTGTTCTCTCTTCTTGAAACAAACATAGAGCTTTATTGTAAAATTTATCATGAAAAAATATTAGAACTGCAGAAACTTAAAATACAGCTTAATAAATTTATATGAGAATATTCAAGTAATTACAACTCACATTGCCAGCATCTTAAAACTTCCCCAAATCTTCTGCTTTAAGGTAACTATTATCCTGAGTTTTATGGCTACCATTTCCTAATTATGGGCATTTTATATTATTCTGAAGACCCTCTTGGTGATCACTTGTTCACCACACAAGAATCTAGTCTTCCCTTTCGAGGCAAGTAGTTTCCCTACTTGGCTCAGTCAGGTGTGACCCAATGGCAAGATTTCTTCTTTGGGGTTTGAACAAAAGTGGTCTGTGCCATTTCTAGGATAGGCTTCAAGATGAACTTTAAAGTGACTCTTGTCCAGCCCTACAAATGATAGCAATGACCTGGAGGATTGTGGAACAACATACGGGAAGGACTCCTGGCCTTTCCTCCTTCCTGAAACAGACACACCACTGCCTGAGACCTTTTGTCCTAGAAATGGAAAAGGAACTTTGTTTTTGTAAGACTTGTATTGTTTGGCTTGTAAGACTGTAGCTTAGGTTTTGTCAGCTTAGTCAGCTTGTTTTTATAGTTTTCTCTGCTTTAATTCACATACCTTTCACTATATACAGAATTTTAAATTTTTTTTTTATTTTAAAAAATCAGAAAAAGGTGGCTGGGGGCTGGGGATTTAGCTCAGCGGCATAAGCGCTGGCCTTGCAAGCTGTGGGTTCCATCCCCAGTACCAAAAAAAAAAAAAAAAAAAAAAAAAAGACGAAAAGGATAGAAACAATACAGAATTTAAAAAAAAAGAAAATTATAGAATTGTGTTCTTCTAACTTAGGGTGTTTAGTGATATCATTAAAACTCTAGCAAATAGTGGGGAAGGATTTTTTAGGGTTGTCAGGTAACCAGGTATATAGGATTGCTGTATATAGGATTGTGTGTATGATTAAGCATGTATTTATTGAAACATACTTTGAGTTTCATCTCTGTATTTGTAGAAATAATGTTTTCTAGCACACATCAGAATTCCTTTTCACTTTAACTTTTTGGACCTTGGAGGCTAATGTGTTTTCTAGTAATACTGAAATGTTTTTTTACAACATGACAGATTAAGTTGGGTGTGGTGACACACACTTGTGATTTCAACACTCATGGAGGCTGAGAAAGAAGGATCATAAATTCAAATCCATCCTGGGCAAAGTTACCAATTTAGTGAAACCCTTCAAAATAAAAAATACATTAGAAAGCCAGCATGTAGCTCAGTCTGGGTCAATCCTAAGGGCCACAAAACAAAAAAATTAAAAATTAATAAAAGTTCAAGACCCTTGAAGCTGTTTGTTAAAATCTAGTTCACTAATATGAAGGTTGCCTTTATTGCCACACCTAGTGGAAATATTTTGCAATTTCAGGGGCAGAAACAACTAAATGGCAATAGATCTATTATTAATATCACATTCAAATCAGAAGTTTATCAGATGGGGCTAGGGATTTAGCTCAGTGATGTAAGCCTGGCAAGCATGAGGTTGTGAGTTTGATCCCCAGGAAAAAAAGTTTATCAAATAAATGTGAAATCTTTTATGCAGTCAGTTACCAGATACCCAGGCAGGTAGTGAAACCTTCAAAGTCTTAGGCTTCACCTCCCACTGCTGCAGTCCCCATGCAGGAGGCCCACACTTCTCATGTGGATTTTTGCAGTCACCACTTGACTCCATCTTGCCATGTTTACTGCTGTTTTGTTCTTTTCTTTGCATCATTACTAGTCAGCTTGTTTTTTTATAGTTTTCTCTGCAAAATTTATTTCTAGAAACATCCCTTTGGGCTCCTATTTCACGATCTGCCTGTATCCTTCCTATTTCAGTGGTATTTTCCATCTTTTTGTTCCGTTCAGCTGGTGTGGTGGCACACTGCTGTAATTCTAGCACTTAGGAGGCTAACGCAGGAGAATTGTTTGCAAGTTCCAGACCAGACTGGGCTACAAAGTGAGCCAAGGCCAGTCTGAACTGCATAGCAAGACTCTATCTCAAAAAGAAAAAAAAAAAAAAAAACAGATTTGACCATGACTTCCAGATACATGGCACATTTCTGACTTTCCTCTGCCTACCTTTTTTTCCTTTGCTTACAATTCTAAGTGTTTAAATCATACTATTTTACAAGATTCTGCTGCAATAATGCTTCCTCCATTATTACAGTGCTGTATTACAGGAAACTGTTTGCATATTTGATTGAGAGGCAGCCCATTTTACAGAACAGACTCTGAAGAACAGGTATTTCATTGTTTGTGAAATACTGTTCATTTCATGGTGCATTTTGAGCTCTTAGAAG